TTGGTTTTATCTCTTAACCAAATAAAATTAGACTGAATATAAGCTCAGAGAGATTAAGAATGCACTAGAAATTCTTGGAAATCATAACATTTTAGGGGAAGAATAATAACATTGAAATTGTTTAGTTTCGTAGTCTGAATCATGGACAATAGAAGTGAAAATATCGACTTGTTCACTGTTGCCAAACTCATCAGTAAAAGCAGAGATTACTTTAATACAGGTCTTTTACAGATACCATTTCCTGTCTGCTCTGTCGAGTCAACTTTGTGTATATGAATCGAATCATATTAACTCTTAAAGAGTGTTTTTCTGAAATGCATGATTTTAGTCTCAAACTAGGGTTAGCTTGCAAGTGTTTCAAGATGCTAACCAGTTAACTGGTGCTCTTATTATGTGTATGGTCCAATGCTTTTCATCATCAAATTATTGTAAGATATAAAGGCAGAATATAAGCAAAGCAATTGCCTTAGAGCTCTAATTTCAAGATATATTCTATTTTAATGAAACATATGCAGTTTGGCAGATTATCCATTGTTCTGAATGGTTTATTCAAAGGAAAAAATAAATTGGGAAGGGGAAATTTCATTTTAGCAATCTTTAATTACCAAAGTCATTTTAGGAGGCAAGAGCAATGAAGCCAGGCCAAGCACGCTAGGAGATAGTCATTTTATTATACCAGAACTCTTCTCTCTGCTCTTATGATTGGGTATAGTTAGTAACGCTTGTTAAAAGTGAATGCTCTATCAAAATTCCTTTCCTACTCATTATTATTTCTAATAGTAATATCTTTGAAAATAATTCAGTCTGTTATTAATTTCATGCCTGTAGTCACAATATTCCTGTAAGATAGAATGAACAGTTGTCATCATTCATGATAACAATGAGAAATTTAAGGCAAAGAAGAATTATGCAGATTTTTCAAGTTCACAGCTAGTTGGTAGAAAAGTTAGGACTGAAATTCAGGTCTTTTGACTTTCAGACTAGTTGTTCCCCGCCCCTGCCCCTGAGTATGTTCTTTTGATTTTAATAGTAAGGAAAAGTATTTGATAATTTTCTTACAGAATGTCACTACTTTTTTTGTAGAGACTATTTCTTACTCTTTAGAACACCACACACAGTTCCTTGAACATAACATATATGCAATAAATGTTTATTTTTTTTAAGAATTAAATTAGTGGGAATCACTTTTACAGGCTGGATGTTACTGAGGTAGGAAAGTGAGACATTATATGTAATTAGTTAAATTCTTTCCTCTTCATCACTGTTTAATAGCCTCTTACCTAATTACCAGATACTTGGTCAGAGGCCTGGATAGAATTTATGCTATCATCACTGAGTTATCAGCTTGAAATATGGGACTCTGATTCTTTAGTAAAAATGCAGATGAAGCAATTTTAATATGAGAAAAAAACAACTTCCATTTCGAGTTTACACTTTCTAGGTGATGATTAACATTTAAAAATTCCTGCCATGCATGAAGCATAATTCTGAAGCCTTCATATAGATATACTTCTATAACCTCGTAACCTAACCATAGAATAGTTTCTATTATTATGTTCATTTTTACAGAGAAGTAAACTGAAACTTAAAAGGGTTAAGTAGGGGCCATAGAGATACATGGGATTAGTCATTTATGTTATAAGTGATTGGCCTTATAAGATTCCTGGACCACATGTGGTTTCCCTGAGTATGAAGTGGAATGATCCTTAAGCTCAGAGCCAGGAAAAAGGCCTGAGCATCGCTGCAGGGTGTGTTCCTCCTCTCCAATTATGACTGACCCCCCCACCCCCAGAAAGGAAAAGTCTTGAAGCTAATACAAGACAAAGATAGTCCTCCTCCCCATAAAACCTAGGTTTGACTCCAAAAATAGAAGCTATCTTTAATAACCCACTGTAATTTTACCTATATACTTGTGACTGTGGCAGCTAACTTTTCCAAATGCTAAAATCCCCACCATTCGAGATATTAAAGAAATTTCCTGTAGCCACTCCTATTTCCCAGTATGTTCTGTCATGTCCTATAATAAAGGTCCAGACTAAAGAAACCACCTTTTGGGGCAGAGCGATAGCAAGTGGGTAGGGTGTTTGCCTTGCACGTGGCCGACCCGGGTCTGATTCCCAGCATCCCATATGGTCCCCTGAGTACTGCCAGGAGTAATTCCTGAGTGTGTGAGCCAGGAGTAACCCCTGTGCATTGCTGAGTGTGACCCAAAAAGCAAAAAAAAAAAAAAAGCCCAAAAAACTTCCCGCCTTTTTAGACATTATTTGTTCTGGACCCAAGATTGTATCATTACATTAAGGTTGCAGTATGTTATCAACACCCATGCTTATTTTTATTTATTTATTTATGCTTTTTGGGTCAAACCTGGCGAAGCACAGGAGTTACTCCTGGCTTTACACTAAGGAATTACTTCTGGTGGTGTTCAGGGGACCATATGGGATGCTGGGAATCGAACCTGGGTAGGCCAAGTGCAAGGCAAACAGCCTACCTGCTGTACTATGGCTCCAGCCCCAACAACACTCATGTTTAAGTTTGTCTGCTCAGCCACCTGTAAGCTTTTCTACACGTCCCTAAAGTGGAGAAAAGGAAACTAAGATTACAATAATAGAGTCCATCCGGATGAATGGGATAATATGTTTTAATGAGTTGTCCATTGACCAAGCCTGCTGCCTAATTCATTACATGTCCCTCTGGAATACCTCTCCAGGGAGAAGTGAAGGTTCTGGCTTTTCAGTTCTTCCACAAACCTTTATTTAGCGAGGATTAAGACTCTGCCATGATTCAGCCATCCAATCAAAGAATGTTTGACAGAGATAAATAATTCAACTGTCCTTATTTTAAAGACAATTGATGTCTAGAGTCGTAATTTACTGAAGCTCATATAATTCACATCTGTGAAGTCTCATCACCCGAGTCTAGAGAGTCATCAAATGACTTGCAGACCCCATGAGGGATGAGATGTTCTGGACTGGGTTTATGGGTGAGGAGGAGAGCCCAGTGATTCAGAGGCAAAATGAAAGTAGAACAGGTAGGTCTCAGCCCTTTATTAGAGTGCATTCTTGGGTAAATTGCTTAGCTTCCCTCTGACTCAGTTTTTTTTTTTTTTAAGTAGTTAAGGTTGCTAATACCTATCTCACCTGTTGTGGGGATATCATGAGTTGTACCTTTGGTCTGGGAACCGGTACCAGTATGCAGGTGTAAGATATTGAACATCTCCGACCACAGTGTAAGATAACAAACCTCTCACCACCCTCAACCCATTTAACATCTTGATTTCTGTGGTTACTTGCAGTCAACGAATCTGAAAAGATTAAGTCTCAATATTTTATGTGAAACCACAATGTATTGTTAAATTTGTTTATCTCACTATACCAAACTTATAAGTTAAAGTCACCTATATATATGTATATGCATATATGAAGATTTTTCTCTAGGATTCTGTACCATCTGGGGTTCCAAGCAACCATTGGTAGTCTTGAAAGGTATTCTTGGAGAGTAAGGTGAGGGAACAACTTCCTTAAAGCAGTTTTCTTTTTTGCGGGGGTGGGGGTCAACCTACATCTGGCAATGCTCAGGGGTTGTTCCTGACTCTTCACTCGGGAATTGCTACTGTCAAGCCTGGGGGACCATATGGGATGCCAGAGATCGATCCCAGATCTGCCGAGTGTGAGAAAGGCGTCCCAGCTACCTGCTGCATTATTGATCCTGACCCCAAAGCTCTGTTTACAGCCTGAAACGTGCAGTTAAACCCTCACTGACCATTATTTCTACTTTAGACTGCTAGAATTTTGACCTCTCTTCGGATTCTTCTCCAGTTATTTCTTCTCTTTTGGAGTCTCTTAAACACAAGTGGCCACTCCACTACCACTTCTACTAAGATCGATAGGGCGGTGGGGACATGGCCTCTGGAGAATGGGTGAGGGAGGCCAATGAGGGGTGAGGGATGGCCGAGAACTCCTCAATCTTCCAGGACAAGCCCCTCAACCCCTGGGCCTTTGGCTGCAGAGGACCTGCTCTGTAAGACACCCGGTGCACAGGTGTGAAGCGTGTGTGTCTTTCTCTCGCCAGCGCCGCGCTCACCACGTACCAGACACTCCCCCTCTCAGGGAGGTCCGTGTGGAATGGGGGTGCGCGGGGAGGTTTGACCAAAAGGCACAGAGAACTGTAAGTGGTTTCGAGTCTGGGCTTGTTCGCCGTCATCCACGAGACAAAGAGACTTCTTATCTAGGTCACTTTTTGGTTTGCTGCCCGCCTCCCCCTCGTCTTCAGTCCGGCTTTGTCCCCGACTTCCAGCTGCGACTCGACGGCGCCCCTCACCGCCGCCCCTTTGTCTGTCGGCCACCGTTCCCCTTTGTGTCCACCGTCGCTCCCGGGGCGGGGGGTGGGGGGGCACGGTGGCCCCCCGCCCCCAACTCTAAGAAGGAATCAAGGAGGAGGAGGAGGAGGCGCGGATTTCCACGATCACACCGCGCACCGCCACCCACGAGCCCTCGTCGGCCGCAGCCCCTCGGCCCCGCCGCCCCTCGGCGCGAGCCCGGGTCCGGGGGGAGGGGCGCGGCGCGGCCGGCGCCGCCTGATTGGCTGCGGGGCGTCGGGGCTCCGCGCAGCGATTGGGCCGCGGGGCTGTCTGGCGCGCGAGGGCGCGCGAGGTTGGGGAGGGGGCGGCTGGAAGCTGCTGGAAGTCAGGGGGCGGGGCCGGAGCGCAGGCCCCGGCGGGCGGAGACGGGGCGCGGGCGCGGGCGCGGAGACGCGAGGTCGCGGGGGCGCGGGTGCGGTCGGGGGCGCGGGCGGGGCGTGGGGTAGGGTGGGGGGGGCGCGGTGCACGGGGTGGGGTGGGGGGGCGGGGAGGGCCGAGTCGGTCACCGCCCCCGGCCCCGCCCCGGCCCCGCCCCGCGCCGCTCCGACCGCGGGCGGCCAGGGGGCAGGCGCGCCGGCTGCATCCCCATCCTCGGCGGCGGCCGGTACTGCGCGCGGGCGAGCGGCGCGGGCGGCTGGAGCGCGGCGGGCGGAGCGCCAGGCCGGCCATGGCCACCACCAGCACCACGGGCTCCACCCTGCTGCAGCCCCTCAGCAACGCCGTGCAGCTGCCCATCGACCAGGTACCCGAGGCGGCCCCGCCGGCCTCGCCGCCCCCCTCCCTGACGGGTGACAGCCGCGCGGGTGCCGGCACCTGGGGTGGCGTGGGGGAGAGGGTGGGTGAGGCGGGGAGGGGGGAGGTGGGGGGGCGCGCGGGCTGGAGCGGGGGCGACCCGCCTGTTATTGTCCGCCTCGTGCCGGGTGCCCCCCTCCCGGACGAGCCCACCCAGCCCCCACCCGCCCGGCCCGTGCCCTCCGCCCGCGGTGGGGTGGGGGGGAAAGCCCTGGCGGGTGGGGGGGGTGGGGGGGGGCGATCCGGGCATCGACGTTCCGGGCATCGACGTGCCCGTCCTGCCCGGCCGCAGCTGGGGGGGACTCGGGGCGTGCGGGGACCCCGCGGCCGGCGACCCGGAGCCCCGGAGCCGGGCTCCCGGGCGCGTGGGCAAAAGGGGGTGTAGACGGCGCTGCCTCCCTCGCGCGCGCGTGGCACCGGACACCCGCGCCCCCACTCCCCTTCCCTCCCCTCCCTCGGGGACGACGCGGGGTGGCCGTACCCAGGTGGCGCGGGTGCCCGGTGCCCAGGCCAGCTTAAGGGTCAGCGGCGAGCCGTTTGCGTGGAAGCGGGGCTCGTCTCCGAGAGCGGGAGGCAACAGTTTGGCAGAGGCAAAGAGGTTAAGGAAGAAAAGTCAGAGCGAGTGGATAACGCCGGGATTCCCAGCGGAGAAAGTTGCCACCGCGCTGACGGGAGAGGCCACCTCCCCCACAGCGCTGGCCGCTGCCGCCCTCGAACATGCATTAGGACGCGGCTCCAGCCAGGGGGGTCGCTTAGATGCGGCCAACCCTGGTGGTGCAAAAGGCCCAAGAATTAATTTTGTGTGTGTGTGTGTGTGCGCGTGTGTATGTGTGTGTAGCGGGGGTATGGGAGGCGTGGGGGCGGGGGAACAGCCCCATTGTTTTTCAGTGCTGGAAAGAAAGTTTGGGACGTATTTCGTCAGTGACATTTAGGGAAGTTGTTTGATAGCTAGGAGAAAATTGCTCAAGTCACAGGCTAAAAAGGTAGACTGAAATTCATGCCGTCTAGCCTACACGATTTGGAAGTGTTTGCACACTTCACAAGGCGATCTGAGCCCACTGCTCCCTCGAAGTGTTGCTGCCCTTGGTGGTATAGGAGGTTTTTCTTTCTTTTTTTTTTTTTTACATTTATAATGCGGGATCCCTCTGTGTGGATGATGTTTCATACCACATCTTCTCAGGACTTTCTTTTCTTTTTTTTTTTTTCTTTCGTGTTTTGGTCCACACCTGGAGGTGCTCCGGGCTCACTCCTGAAATCTGTGCTCAGGGATCATTCCTGGAGGGGCTGGGATGCCGAGCATTGCACCCGAATGCCAAAGCAAGTGCCTTACCCACTGTACTATCTCTGTGGCCCCAGGGACTTGGCTCTTCCTCCCGCCCCCCCCCCCCCCCCCCCCAAAAAAAAGGGAACTGAAGTAAGTCCAGTGAGCACTGCAGAATTCTGGCGTCTGTTGAAATGAGTCTCCGACTGGTATATACAAGTGACAACTCTGAGTCCATAGTGTAATTTAGAACTATGCACACCCTCCTCGCCTCTTACTGTGGACTTAAGTGCGTGTGTGTTTCAGGCAAATAGATTCCAGGGCCCTAGGTGAAACTGATCTGGTACTCACTAGAGTGCACGCGCTATATTAAAGTCATCAGTACTTGGGTTTTTCATCTTCTCAGCACCATGGAGGAAAGTCTTTTCTGAACTGAAGTCCACTGTGTCACCTTTCAGTGGGTCACACCCCTGATTAAGTAGGTTGTTGCTGGTGTGTGAGCAAATGTAGGGTGTTACCTATTTACCTTTGCTGATGAGAAACACGGGAGCTAGGCATGTACCTTTTGAGTCATTTTCTGGAGACAGGTCTATTCCCCTCCCCTCAGAACCACAATGATTGTGTCTCCCCTCCCATGTCTTTAAATTAATATAGAGATAACTTTTGACAATGATTTGCGATTTATGAACTCTTTTGAACATCTCAGTAATCCAGAGAAAGTTCTTTTCAGAACTGAAATAGGCAGGAGAATCAAACGAGAGTGTCAGGACTTAAAAATATTGACTTTTTATTATCACATCTTGATTTGGTACCTTGGACAATTTTTATTCTCTTGGGACTGCTCTTGGGTCTGTAGAAATTTGTATAGTGTAGGGGTTTTTTCCCCTTCTTTCTTTTTTACCCTGTAAGGAAGTCTTAAAAATAATAATAATCTTAACTTTTTATGGGCTTATAGTGATAATGGATTTTTCTTTGAATAATTAACTTTTTAATGTTTTTGTTATAAATAAAAGCTAGCAATAGTAAAATTGGGTAAATAAATGTCATTTAATCATTATTTTAAAGTTGAGCAAAATAGAAAATGAGTTTTGTAACATGTAAATAAGTCCAAGTTGGGAGAAAGCCCTAGAATTGGATGTGAGCAAATGGTGTGAGGAGAAAGACAAACCAGGAAATGAACAGTGTAAAAATATAATTTGTTAGTATGTTAGTTTGCTCTGTACTAATTAACAATGTTTTAAAAAATCAAGAAATTATCATGACAGACATTTGATGTCAGAGGAAAATACTGTAATTCGGGGCAGAACAAGAGTTCTACTCATTTTTTACTAGAGTGCAGAATTTAGAAAGCTATAGAATTTTTTTTTTTTTTTTTTGCTTTTTGGGTCACACCCGGCGATGCTCAGGGGTTACTCCTGGCTCATGCACTCAAGAATTACTCCTGGCGGTGCTCGGGGGACCATATGGGATGCTGGGAATCGAACCTGGGTCGGCCATGTTGGCTGCGTGCAAGGCAAACGCCCTACCTGCTGTGCTATCACTCCAGCCACTATAGAATTTTTTTTGTATGTAGAAAATATGAATGTACATACAGGTAGTAAGGTAAGAGAAGCAGGAAGAAAAAAATGTTTCTTCCAGTAATCCAAGAAAAGCAAAGCAAAAGATCTTGTCTTAGACTCATGGTTTATTTAATCTCTTGTGAGGATTTCAGAGTGACCTTGAGGTAATCATAGTATTTGTTCAGTAGACCTTAAATTGTGATAAAAAATAGAAAATCTAGTATCAAATGAGGTTCAGTGATAAGAAATAGCTAGCATTTGATATTTCCTTTCTCTAGGCCTTGTTTTCAGGAGGCTTTATTTCCAAACTGGTCATCTCGAAGGATGTATGGAGAGAGGGTTTTGAAGGAGGATTTGGATTAAGGCAAAACTGTGCCAAAGGGAAGAACTAGCATGCCATTGAGAAAACATCAGATGCCATGGGACATAATGATGGGTGGGAGAAGGAGGAAGACCAGTTATGCTACTGATTGCAAAGTGAAGTTATAATTGAATGTAACAGCTCAAAGTTTATACATCTTTAACTTATATTATTTAATTGAATCTTCACAACACCTGAGAAAGTCGGATAATTCAAGGCTTATAGTATGCTAGCTATATTGAACCACAAACATGTATAAGTATTTAAGATGACATAAAGGTAAAGGTAAAGGCCCTCCCGTTGATCGTCGATTTGCTCGAGCGGGCCCAGTAATGTCTCCATTGGAGACTTTGTTGTTACTGTGTCTGGCATATCTAATACTCTCGGTAGCTTGCCGGGCTCTCCAAGAGGGGCAGAGGAATCGAACTCGGGTCGGCCATGTTGGCCGCTTGTAAGGCGAACACCCTACTGCTGTGCTATCGCTCTAGCCCTAAGATGACATATTTTATATATAATCCTTGTGAGATAAAAAATAATATAATACACATATGGTATCAAGCATTTGAATAAAAGGTCATATTTTAATAAATTAAAGTCTTAACAGTTAGCAAATACTATTAGTAAGAGCATTGTTTTAGATCTGGGTTGTAGGTCTACTTTTGGAGGGAAACACTTGCAAACGTTGAAGTGTTGGTCTCAATGGTTAGAATGGGGAAAACCATACAAGTATGTGAGAGAGAGAAGTGTGGTGGTCTTATAAAATCTGTTTCCTTTTTGGTCAACTTGCTGATCAATCTTTTCTGTACATTTTCCCATCTCTTACTATAAAAACCAATTAAAGTGAGGACATATCTTGGAAAAATAATACTTTAAAGCTTTAATTTCCAGGGGCCGAACAGTATGGTGGTAGCTCTTACCTTGCATGCTGTTGACCCGGGCTTGATCCTGGCATTCTGTATACTTCTTTGAGCCTGCCAGTAGTGATCCCTGAACACCACCAGGTTTGGCCCCCAAACAAAACAAAAACAAAAAACCTTTAACTCCCATAATCATCCTATAATACTGTATTATAATGAGCCTCATTTTATAGATGAGTAAGTGAAATTCTCAGTATTGAACTGTTCTAATAGTATGACTTTCAGGATAGGAAGGCAAGTAAACCGAAGATTTTTTTATTTGAATGTTGCCATTTGAATGCTCTAAGCTTAGTACATAAATATTTAAGTCATGTGTCTGTCCTGTCTACTTGTACACCTATAATGAGCATCAGTCTTTATGCGATGCTCAAGTCAATCTGCTGTAGAAGATTCCTGTTAATAGGAAGGCATATGGGACTTAGGGATCTTGAATCTGTATTTTGGGCCCTGTCAGTTAACTAATTTTAGCTACGTCATTTTACATAAAAGAGTTTCTTCCCGTGTAGGATATGCATTGCACTTAGTCTTAACATTCCGTGCTTCTGTTTGTTTCATTAATTGAAGAAGCTGTCCCCAATCCTTTTTTAGGATGAATTTGAGAAACTAAATAAAAACTTAGAGGAGGAACATGAACTAATAAATTGTCAATAGTAAGAGCTGATACTACCTCTGTTCAATCCAAAGTAGTTTGGCAAAATACCATATGCCCTGAAAACTGTAGTTACGTTTCTTTCCCCATGTTTTGTTTTCCTTTATTGATAGAGGTAGAAGAGTAGTGGAGTGGTAGAAATGAGATGATTGGGTTTGGAACTATATCCTGCCACCCTTGTGCTCTTGGACAAAGTGTATTTT